AAGGCTAGTGGCTATTTTTCTGAGTAACCAGGGAGGTGGCCTTCATTAGGAAGAGAGTCCTTTGATTATTGCAAGGCATCAACAACACTCAGTCAACAAACTTTTAATGTATATGGGAATGAAGGCCGTCGACCTGTCCTACATGATTTTCATTTAATATTTATAATATTCTGTGAATTAAGCACAAGCCTATTTTATGAGTAAAGAGGCTCAGAAAAGTTAAAAAATTGCTCAAAGTTATACAACCCGAAAGGGCAGAGTCAGAGTTTGAACCCTGGGCTCCTTGATTCCATTCTGGGGTCTTCGCATTAGGTTGCACTGCCCCCTCTTACCGCGAACGGCTGAGAGTGGCCCACTTGAACCTGAAGTGGGAGTTGCCTAAAGAGCATTTGTGTTTGTCTCCCAGCCCAGCCTTCCCTGTTTCACTCTGTGTAATGTGTAGTTCAGGGGCACTGCCTCTGCCCCATTGCTGGGTGAGCCAAGAGAATGAAACGTGCAGGGTGTCCTGGGAGCATCTAGCCTTTCTAGGGGTTAACGTTGGTCTCCCTCACTGTCTGAGACTGTGTAGATTCAAGAACGGGAGGTTCCTGTGACAAATCCAATTCAAACTCCTCTAGAACTCACCTGGCCTCCAGGACCCGAGGGAATCTGACACTCTTCATCAGACAGTATTTCCTAGCATGTGATGCAACCACTAACGCCCCAAGCCCTTAAATACATCCATTTCACAGCCTGGTGAAGGAGAATCACAGCAGCCAAGTAAGTGTAATAGGAGCACAAAACACCACACCACACAATATGCAAAAGCATGCTAAGGAAGGGTAGCAGGGCGGCAAAGCACAGGCTCGGGGGTCAGTCGGGGAGCAGTGCCCCCTCGGCACTTACTTGCCCGGCAACCTTGGGCAAGTTATTTACCCTCCCCAAGCCAAGTCTTTTCTTATTTGTAGCCAACAGTACCTACTTCTTAAGGTTCTATTTTTATTTTTTAATTGATATATAGTTGATTTACAATTTGTGTTAGTTCCTAGTGTACAGCATAGTGATTCAGTTATATACACATATAATTCCTTTTCCTATTCTTTTTCATTATAGGCCATTACAAGGTATTGAATATGGTTCCCTGTGATGTACATTAGGACCTTGTTTATCCAGAGAATCTAAAGAGATAGTGTATGTGAAATGTTTAGCAGAGTGCAAAACCAAAGAACTATAGGAATAGAAATTATTTACTTCTAACTAAAATGTGCCTGAGTTAACAGAGGAGAAATAAAAGCTCTTCGATTTTGAGCACATAGTCTCCTGTGGGTCAGAGGTCAAATGTTAGCGTCTTGGTAAAGCTATTAAAAATATGGAAACTCTGTGAGGCAGAGATCCTGCCTCTCTTATTCATCACTTTTTCTCCAGGCACTTTGTGGTACGTGGCCCATACTAGAGTTCACTAGATGATCTATGAATGGATGAATGTTGGATGCATGGATGGACAGATGGATGGATGGGCCAAAAAAACAGAAGTGCCATCCTTCAGTTACAAAGAGGACTGCCACTGGAGAATTCATCTCCTGGGTCCCCTCTCTCAGTGAATGGCACCTGCCATCTATCATGCCATCTAAGACAGATCTTTTAAAAGCACAAATCTGTTCAGGTCACTACTGCCACGCATCCCCCACCAGTACCCCCACTTACGAATGGTCCACAACACTCTGTAAACTTTAAGATAAAGGCTAAACACCTAAGTGTGGCATCCCCAGCCTTTACAATCTTGCCTTTCCAGCCTCCCCTGTTCAACCCACCTTTCTGTGAGTTCTAGGTCCCCTCCAGCAGGTCTGTGCCCTCTTGCCCTGTGCCAATGCTTGGGCTTCTTCCTCTGCCTAGAATGTTCTTCCCCCACCTTCTGTATTCCCTTCCACGTTCCTCCAGAACGCAACCCCAGCATCGCCCCACTAGGATGCTTTCTTTCACTGCCCCTGGCCCCACTAAGAATTAGATGTCCCTCCTCCTCGGTGCTCCCAATGCTTAGTACTTAGCTCACTACACTATGGTCTGACTCCTTATCTGCCCTTCTCAGGTGCCTGGGTCATGGAGTGCTGTGTTTTGTTCTTCATTGTACCTAATACACCTCCATCTAGTCCTGGCACAGTGATTGTTTCTTGAATTGATAAATACTTTGTCTCACACCAAATGTGTACTTTCTCAGAAGCATATTCGCAATCAACATCATGTCTTTGGACACTCGTGTGACCAGTCAAGACAATTAACCAAGGATTGGGGTGTGGTCTATGACTCTGGCAAAATCTGTTAGATTAGACATATGGGGAACATATATCTTTAACCAAAAGTCTAGACACATGATCTGACAAATATGATCACATATTTTTCTGTTGTAGAAAAATTTGAATATATAATGTCTATGGCTACCCAACTTGATCTGTCATTTTTGCCTTACTATGTTATCCAAACATGCCAACTCAAGACATTGAAATACTAGCTAAGTAGCTAACATCCTTGGTGAGCTTACTATGCAGCAAGCATCTTGTGAGGTGCTTTGCAGTCATCTCATTTAATCTTCTCAACTACCCTTTGAAGTGAATCTTATTATTATCTCCATTTTACAGGTGAGGAAACTGAGGCTTAAAAACTTGCCAGAGGTTACACAGCCAGTAGGAGACATCTGTCCAGCAATGGAAGAGCAGTCTGTTTGATCTTCTCAGTCATTCTTCGATACTGACCTAACCATGACCCCTTAACCTTATTAGATCATCAGAAGAGCCACTTCGGGGCAAAAATAGCTTGTGGCTTCTGGAAATTTTTATTAAAACTCTAAATCTCCTGGCAATAACTTTCAAAAGTCATGATTCAGACCAGCAGTGATATTTGAAAACGGAATCATAATGCAAGTCTCCTGGCTACAGAGATGCTCTCGCTGCTGGAGAGAAATGCTCAACCTTGACATTTATGACAGTCTGTGCTTTTCCTGTTACTGGGCCTTTTGCCATTATTGTCTATTGAAAGGCACTGACCCTCATTCTACCCTCCCCAAGGAATCCTCTCTTTCAGGGCTAATCGGTCTGTCCTCTTCCTTGGTTGTCATTTCACTGGGATCTAGAGCAATGTTTCTCAAAGTCCTACCAACTGACCACCTGCACAATGATCACCTGGGCACTTATTAAAATGCATATTCCTGAGCTCCACCCCACAGCTGTCACGTAGAATCCTACAGATTGGAGCCCAGGGAGCAGCCTTTTAATCACATTCCCCAGGTAACTCATATGAATACTACTGTTTGAGAACCACAAACGTAGTCCCCTCACAACTCCAGGTGTGATCACTGGACCAGCATCAGCAGCTTGTTAGCAAACAAGGAATTCTCAGGCCCCAGTCCTGAATGACTGAATCAGAATTTGCATTTTAATGAACACCCTCAGATTTGTATTCACATTACTGTGCATGCGGAGAACTAGTGATCTAGAACAGTGTTTCCTGTGCACATCATGGCATGCACAGAAAACACAAGCACTTGTTTGGCATACAGATGACAATGCCAGCTGTGGCATTGGGCTCAGCCCGCCCCACACCCCAACCTGGCCATCCTGAGGGCTAAGGAGATTGCTATCCGGGGCATACTTGTGCCACTGCACACTGGTTGAGGAGCACTGGTCTACCTAAAATAACCCCAGCCCTCCTAACTCTCTTCATAAGCAGCAGTCTATAAATCTTGCTTATTCTGTTTCTCTCATCATTTATCATTTCTTTTCCTGTATACTTAGAGTCTGAAAGGCTACTTCCCAATTAACAAGGCCTTAGAAATCTTCATGCAATGGTCTCATCTTCAAGTTCTGGGTGGACTCTGAGAAATGCAGAGAGAAAAGTTGTGTCTGTCATTCTGAAGAGTCGTCTGCTGTGGCTTCAAGAATACTAGGAACAAATAAGAGCCTTCTACCCTTTGAAGAATGCTCCATTCCTCTTAGTCCACAGATCTGAGGCGGCTTCCTCTCTCCTGAAGAGTGTGCCAAGAGGAATGTGATTGTGTTTAATCCTTCCTCAGCAAAATCTGCCAGCTTATAAACTGGACAGGTGTCCTTTCTCTTAGCCAGCCCCTGATAATGGGATGACAGTTGGGATGGAAGGAATGGAATACCTTCAGAAACACTTCCTGGTGAGACCATCTGATCAAAACGACCAAGTGTCAGGCCACACCATCTGACTTTGCAAAGCTCCCAGCTATGTGGGAACCCCATTGTTTTTCTGCCCCTCACCCCACCCAATAAGGAAAATGTTGAAAAAATTTAAAGCTTAAAATGTTGAGCTCTTACTCTGAAGCAAATCTGACAAGGTCTACCCCTAATGAAGGACTAAGCAAATACAGTTGAGAAAGAGGTGGGGGAAGGGGACTATTGCTACCAGATAACTCACTTTTTTCCTTCTCTTTCTACCTTGCCTGCAAGTGGTGTCTATTTCTCTTCACTCTGCTTCCCCCAATCAGAGTATAGACAGAGTAGCACACATTTAAGCTGGATTAATGTGGAACTATCCCTCCTCTGTCCTGAGACTGTACATCCAAGTCGCAAAAGGCTGTCTGATCCTCCCTTCGTGCCCCAACCATTGAAGTTCCTCTGCATTAGTAGTAGAAAGGACTGTGACCAGAGCCTGCTGTCACTTGCCCCCTCTGGTTGACTTTCATGGAACTCTTCCCTTGATTCAGACATAGGCAAGCAGGCCTTTCTCCTGCTCTGACCAAGAAGTTCAGAGAGCAGCTGGCAGTTCACCCAGAGCAGCCATGGTGTCTAAGAAAGAAATGGGTTTTTCTCTAAGTTCATAGCAAAAACAGTTGGTTTTAAAAAAAAAAAAAAAAAGTCTATCCCTGATCATCTGATTAACAAGTGCTGGAAATACAAGATTGGGGACTGCCGAGGGCTTGGGCATCCCAGCCCCCACAGCATAGCTGTTGTGCACGACCGTTTCAAACCCAGTTCACTGAACCATCTCTCTGCTTCGTGGTCCAGGATGAAGAATAAGCTGTGGTACTTTGAATTTGGCACCTCGGAGACCTTCGCAGCCACCTGCAAGAAACTCCATGACCACATAGAGTTGGAGGTGAGTTCCCAAGGCTTGCTGGACCTTGGCTCTGCTCTTGGACTGTCACACACCCTCAGGACATGTCCCCTAGGGTTCTTAAGAGGTGATCCAGAGTGTCATCCACTTGTTATGCCTCCATCCTGTTCCCAGCTCCTCCACAGCCTCACTCCCAGAAGGTTCCAGTCATGGGGCCTGCTTTCTCAGCCTATCCAGGGAGTCCTTGGGGCCCTGAGAGCTAGAAGCCCAGCAGACCCAAGGCCCCAGACCCTTCCTACCTTCAGCCCTCTCCCCACCACGGCCTTGCAATTTCGCCTTTGCAGAGAGGTCAAGACTTAGTTGCTGCCCAAGCAGGGAGAAGAGCCACCGTGGGGGTGGAGACAATGTCCCAAGCCTGGTAAAAGCCTGGGAACTGATGGGCTCAGGGCTGCAGGAGTGAGGGGTCAGGGTGTTGAGCCCAGAGGTGACCAGTCATCCCCCAGCTCACCCACCTCAGCTTTCGGGGAGCTGACTCCCGGGCACCCAGTGGGCTGCATGGGGGTACACCTGTACAGTTGCTCAGAAGGGCCCTCGGTTTAATGCTGTCCTGTCACCATCTTGAAACTCTTAATGATTTTTTAGCTAAGGACTCTACATTTTCATTTGGAACCGGGCCCCTCAAATTACACAGCTGCTGGTGGTGGTGCATTTGTGTTTTACTGGCTCTCCCAGCGCTGGTGGCAGCCTGCCTCAGACAGCGAGCCGTCTTGATAAGCTGCCAGCCTCCCACCCCCCACCCCACTTCTGCTGGGCTGCTCTCGTGAAACCTGCTTGCCACTACAAGGTCTCCTTGGTCTCTGGCCACCCAAAAGCCCAAACTTCTACGCACACCTCTGCTGTGAGGACCTCAGGCCCATGGGTTCTCTTGCCATGTGGTTCTCATCTGTCAAGCCCCGCCCTTCCCGTGGGATCCAGGCCTCTTTTCACTTGAGAAAAACAAGTGAAAGGCAGAGAGTTCGCCCAGGATGGTCTCCTCCTGGCCCACCAGCTTTGTCCCTAAGCCTGCAGTAGCATCGCAGTCCAGTGGAGCCCGGGCATCCCTTGAAGGAGGAGCATTTGGCCTGAAGCAGTGTGGGAAAGCCCTGCCACTCCCTGCGGGAGGAGCCTGTGCTCACAGGGAGTTCGCACAAACAAAACACAAAGCCAGAGAGTCTGTGCTTCTCTTTGACTCATCTGCCTGCCTCTCCCCAGCGGTTGCTGGGTTACCAGCCCCAGGGTGGGAGGAGCCGACCCAGCTAATCCCCAAAACTTTTAACCAGCCCAGTAACAGGGCAGAGAGGCCCAGGAGTCAGACGCACGTGTCCCCAGGTGGGACCACCTACATCTGTAAGAGGCTGAGGAGCCTGCCATCCTCTGTGGATGTGGAAATTCACTGCCAGGGCTGCTGCAAAGGAGGAAAGGGCTGAGCCAAAGACTGAGCGCGGCTGGAGCTCTGTGTGCATTTTTCCCATGGCATGATCATCTGGTGGGGTGTCTTTAAATATACCCCGAGTGAGGGACAGCCCTGGCCTAACCACTGCCAGCTGCAGGCACACAGCGACTGCTTGTTCTCCCTGCAGCTGGCCTTGAAACTGTGCCCGGAATAGAGCAGCTCAGCTCCCCTGCCACCGCAGGCCCGCGCGCCCTCCCAGCTCCCAGCTCCCGGCAGGCAGTGCCACGGCCCCTTCTGAGTCCAGTAGGCAGCAGGCCTTCCTCAACCGCAGAGGGGGCTGGTGGCCTCCAGAGGGGGGTGGAGGGGTTCATACTGTGGGTCGTTGGGGGCTTTCGGGAGCACTTCTTGTTTTCCTTCTCTCCCCATAATGAGTCTTTTTAGTATTTATTCGAGAGGCTAAGGATGGGAGGCTTATATGACAGGCGGGGTATCTGACAGCCCACAGGACTGGGGCAGGCATCACTTTTGCATCCAGAGAGCAGTGGGTGGGCGGTCCTGCGTCTTGTGATCCAGAGGAGGAGAGACAGACCACAGGGGAGCCACGTGAGTGACAGGTATTAGGAGCCTGCAGGGCACCACAGGTAGACGGCAGAGCATCAGGGATCTCAGGGAGGGCAGTAAAAGAAGCTGTGTTGAGGGCCCTTCCGTTTGTGGCCCCTGCACACAATAACCCAGGCCTGGAGCATGCTCATCAGGTCAAGGTCAGCCGTCTCGAGAATAACCCCACACAGGTATTCATACTGCATGTCACCGTTTCCAAAGCCCCACCACAGCCTTTATTTGAGTCACACAACAAGCCAGTGAGCTAAGCAGGCCGGGTATTCTTGTCCCCGTGTCTTGGAAAGCAAGCTGAGGCATAGAGGTTTAGAAAGATAAACAGAAGGGAGAGAAAAGTAACAAGGGAAGAGGAAAAAGTCACATGCTTCAACTGCATGCTGTAATGTGTCCTCATTTGATACAATAACCCCATGAGATTAGTATCATATTTTTTAATGAGGAAACTGAGGCTCAAATACACTAAGTAAATTGGCCAAAGTTTCATTGCCGAAAACTTGCGAGAGAGGAGATTCTAGGTCTCCTGGAAGGAGTTCAGCTTAGAACCCAATAAACAGATTTACCTAACAAGTGCTAGAAACTTGGTGAATTTTTCCACGTGGATGCGTTGTTTTTTCCTCCTTTACTGAATGTGGAACCATTTGGTTCCCTCAGCTGAGACAGCTGGGCAGGTCTGCTGAGAAATGCTTGAGAAGAACAGGAGGCACAGGCCTACTGCTCATTTGAGGAAGGAAGGGGTTCAGGCTGGACAGAAGGAGAGAGAGTCAGAGGAAAACTTCCTTAAAGTTTACCAAAGGTTTTCCCACGCAGCATCTCATTTTATTTCGATCCACAGAGCATGTAGGGCAGATGTTAACGTCCTCACTTTATGGGTGAGGAAACTGAGGCTGAGAGGTTCAGTGACTTGTGAAAAGGTACAAAGGTAAGGGGTTCAGGGGGACAGAGAGTAAAGTCTATTTCGTTTCTTTAGGTATGTGCATCTGTGTGTCCACCTTGGTAAAACTTGGATGGTGAAACTTCAAGCTTAAATGAGATTAGGCAGGAAAGGTCTCCACTGAAAGTCTCTCACAGGGAACACAGCCTGTTTCTTGGAGGCTTGTGGCTTATTGAGAACTAGGAGACTTGGTCCCTTCCCTGAAATAAAGCTCACATACGGCCCGGCTGACAGAACCCGGGAGAGCTGGTTAATAGAATACTCACTTAACTAGCGCTGAGGAAACTGGATCCACGTGGGCAATCACTCTGGACACTGTTTTGGGGGCTCAGAGACTCCAGTATGGGAGGTGACTCCAGATCTACCGCTCACCTGCACACACCTGACCGGGGCTGGCTCAGCGAATAGGGCTTGGCCCAGAGAGGTGTTAGCCCTCCTCGGCTGGACTGTGTTGTCTGAGCCTCAGTATTCTCATCTATGAAATGGGAAGAAAGGGGGTTAGCCTACTTCCCAAGGCTAATATTCAGATTAAAGTTTTCAGTTTTTTTTTTTTTAAGCAACTGATAATGGTGCTAAATGCCTCATGGAATCTACAAAGCAGCCTCAAGTGGCAGGTGTCAAATCACCTTTCCAGAGAAAGGGGTAGAAGCTGAGAGAAGGCAAGAAGCTCACCTGAGGCCCACAGCCTCTGAGTGGTCAGGTCAGGCTTCAACTCCAGATTGGCCCAAAACCCAGGAGTTTCAGGGAAGTACTGGCGCTTCAGTCTGGAGCAGATTCTCAACCAGGTATGAGGCTTATCTGATCTGCTCTTAGTCACATACCTTAATTTATTTTAACATCTCAGGCAACATTAAAAGCAGGCATGAGGCTTTTACATTTATCAAAAAGCGAGAATAAAAAATTTGGCAAGTACTTGCTCTAGAAGCTCCCCTCTAGACACGCAGAGGAAGCTGGGAGAGCTGGTGCTGTTCCTCGGAAATGGGTGCTAGTATGTTGTGGGTGCCTCTAATGAGGATGCCAGCATGTCACCCACATGGCTGTCATCAGTCCTGGTCGAACAAAGGCATTCTCTCAGTGCTTCATGTCCCTGACTCCTCTGCCCTTCCAAAGCTGCCCTTGATGTTTATTCTAATCTGATTTTACCTGAATAAATGGGTCGGGGTGGGGAGAGGGAGGGACACAGTGAGTCACCTCCCCGACCCCAGGCCCGGAATAGCCTTGCCTAGGTTTTGAGTTATAGTTAATAGTTATAGTTACAGTTAGGCGGAGCAAACCAGACAGGCTTCGACGCGAGCACTTATTTTATATGCTGTGGAAATTTTTCACTTTACTGGCTAAAAATAAGAACTTCCCAAATTCCTTGATACAGTATCTACTTTAAAACAATGTTCACAAGGGATGGCTTGCCAGCTCCACTAAGGTGAACCTCTGCAGGGGGAAAAGTAAGTCCAAATGTGGAAACTGCTCCCTGAAAACTTGTTATCCAGCATATTTTGGGAATCTCTGCACATCAGTTTCCCCTTTTTAAATGGAGGATTTTTTTAAAAATACAACAAAGCTTTGAGAACAGTACATCAAAGGCCAAACACTCCCATTTCCCCCTCACTTGGAATTAGTATTTGTCAGTATTTTGTTTTATTCCCTTCCAGTATCTTTTTAACCAAAGAAAGAAAATGTTACAGATGGAACTGAGTTCCCCACAACTCTCTTGGGCTCTGCAGCTTGCCTTTCTCACCCTCCATCAGATCTTGAGATCCCTTTGTGGTGAGGGTGCTAGAGCCAGTTCATTGCCTTTACCTGCTCTGTGAACACCCCACCCATGATGGGGAGGAGGAGCAGAAATAGTCACACTCAGACACTGCCGGTGGGGCATGAGTGGAAAACCCCTTCGGAGAGCAGTATGGCAGTAAACGCTGAACTGAAAATGCACTGTGGGCCGAATGAGCCAGCAGATGCTTCACATCCTAGGCCTAGAGGATTTCCTGCCCATGAGCTCACGAGGGGACGAGCACAGAGGTGCACTGCAGCCCTTTTTTATCACAGCAAAATGGAGCCATCCCC